TTTTTTTTCTTACCAAAAATTTTAATTCACCTGATTTTTGCCGAGTTTTTTTTCACTTTTATTTTTTATTTTTTTTATTTAGACTTTGATATACCTGTACACGTTTACATTTGGTTACCTTCTACTGTTGGAAAATATTTCCCGTCGTTGTCATCCCGGCAAAAACAAAAGAAAGAATGTAAACACTACAGCCCACTAGATGCGGAGGTGACCAGGTGTATAAAATGAGTGCTGTATTAAAGATTTCTCCTTATACAGTTTTTTTTTATTGATGAAAATGACGACTGATAAGCAGTTCTAAGTGATGATATTCAAAGAGACGTGTGTACTTGTGGCAAAAGGGTTGTATATCAAGCAACAGTTTCACTGGTGTCGGTAAGTAAGTATAAAAAAAAATTTTTCCTAGAATTAAATTTCCAAAATCAGGATGCGTCTTTCACGATGCAGCGTCTTCCAAGCCGAAAAATACGGCATTTTCTCATTTTCGACTTACGACTTGGTCGTCGGTCCCTAACCCAGTCTTAAGTCTGGGACTGTACTGTACTGTACTGTACTGTACTGTACTGTACTGTACTGTACTGTAATAAAACCCACAGGGTACCGTGTTAAGTGAAAACCGTGCTAAGTGAACAACAGAACATATGGGATTAATTCCAATAGAAACTGGCCCGATCCCCAAACTCCACTTTTTCCGACACAATACCTATGTTCTAGTAAAAATAACATCTTAATTTTATGATGGTACATGCACACAATTAATACTTTAGAGAAATACAGTCGCCAAGTTAATGTCCATTCAAATAATGGACTCAACTCCCTCCCCCTCTTCTCACACTACACTGCTGGCTCTTCCCTCTCTGAGAAATTTTTGGGGGAAAACCACTAAATTTTAATAATACCTCAAACTAAAGTTAGGATAATACAATTGACATTGCTGGATTCCTTGTAAGACCAGGAATATTTTGAATATAAATGTCATATATTTTGCACAAAAGATAACATATTTACTCAGAGTAAACATTACACTTAACACGATTTTTTTTCTAAGGAGCAGGAGTGTCCAGCTCGAGACGCCTTTTAGGATTTTGCCCCACGCCACCCTGCCTGGACTGCCTGTTTTAGCCTTATGTACCATACAATTATCTGCCAGAATATAATTTATATTGCTAAATTTTTATACTTGGTGATAAACATTTTGAATATAAACATCATATATTTTGCATTAAACATATAATTTTTTAGAGAAAAATTTCTAGGTAATTTATGTTGTCTTTAAAAAAAATATATGACATTTATATATTCAAAATATTCCTTGCCTGCCATGAATCCAGCAATGTCAGTTATATTATCCTAAATTTTAGCTTGAGGTATTATTTATTAAAAATTTAGGTTATCCCACATCTCCTCGGGATTGCTGGTGGGGGGTGGGGGAGGAGGGACTGACCCACCACTGTTAGCCTGCGAAGAATTATTTTTTTTTGTAATAACTGAAGATATTTCATGTTTTAGCTCATAAAATTCATAATAAAATTAGTCAAGTCACTTACATTGCTGGGAATTTATATTTGAGATTATTTTAATATAAACATCATATATTTGCATTAAACATACAATTTTTAGACAAAAATTTTTCTCTCAGGTAACTATGTTATCTTCAGCAAAATATATGACATTTATATTCAAATGTTCCTGGTCTTCACAAGGAATCCAGCAATGTCAAATTATATTATCCTAACTTTAATCTAGAGGCGGTATTATTTAATACTAAATGTTACAAAACCTGGAAGGGAGGATTAAGGGAGGGTTGGGACCGGGTTGGAAGAGGGGGGAGGCAAGGTGGGCACTTTGATTGACAGATAGCACGTGGAAGATTATTTTTTTATTAATTAGTTTTAGTTTATAATATCAAAATAATGCTGGAAATTTTATATTTAATATATTGAACATACAATTTTTAGATAAAATTATTTAGGTAATTTTGCAAAATATATGACATTTATATTCAAAATATTCCTATTCATGAATCAAAGCAAATGTCAATTGTATTATCCTAACTTTAGTTTGAGGTATTATTTATTAAAATTAGTGGCTTTTCCCTTAAAAAAATTTCTGAGAGGGAAGAGCCGCAGTGTAGTGTAGAGTGGAGGGATGATTCATTATTTGAATGGACATTAACTTGGCTTTACTGTATTTCTATTTCTCTTAAGTATTATTAATTGTGTGCATACCATCATAAAAATTAAGATGTTATTTTTACTACAACATAGGCGCCTTCAAAAGTGAGTTTGGGGTCGGGTCATTTCTATTGGAATTAATCCTCATATGTTCATGTTCTACTATCTGGATTTCACTTTAACGCGAGACCCTCAAGGTTCAACTTGACCGCGTAAGTGGGATTTTGTCTTTTGAATTTAAATAATCACTTATCAAGAAAATTGTATGATTATTTATTTTATATTTTGGTTGGCTTGCGCCTTATTATTACGATTATTATTATTATTACAGTTAGTCTTTAGTCCGGGCAACTCGACCTGACCGTGCCGATCATGAAGCCCACCCTTTTCCTGGATAGATAGTGGTTCTATGCTGCGCCCGGTACAATTTTAGCAATCTGTACTTTCTGCATCATATGTCTTTGAAGACATATTGAAGGGTTAAATGTCGATAGTAGCTTCTCAAATTCCCGCCAGTTTTTAATTTAACGATTTTATTAAACACATTAAAAAATAAATAAATAAAAATTTTGATTCCATGAAACTTGAATTTCGGATTGGTTGAACGCCAACGTACTTTTATTTTTACTAATCGTGTAAACAAAGGCTATTTCTTATGTACAAAAAGATTCATTTGGTTTATTACTGAATGTTCTTTTTTATTGAATCTCATCGTTTATGTGCAAATGAGCAATACAATTCATTAATTACTTCACGTGAGAATGGTTGTTCAATACGAGAAATGATAGCATTGAGTTTTCGCTGATTACAAAAACCAGTGACTGACTGGTCTTTACATATAAACTGGAAGAAATAAGACTTGGCTGGCCAGTAAACAATATGGTTGTTTTAAGTAATGTTATTTAATGTTAATAAATGGAACATGAAGTAGCTAATTCCATAATGGTAAAGAAAAAGAGAGATCGATGTAAGCGCGCGATGCGACATCGCGGAAAAACATATCGCCATTATTTTACATAAGAATATAAAGCAACACTATTTTACTGTCTATATACGAATAATGTTTTGAATTTGTTTTATTGAATTAATGTACGCGGTGCAAAATTAACAATACAATTTATTAATAATACGGAATATTGAGACGACGGTTGCCGGCATTACGAGGTGTTAGCTTAATAAAACCAGGGTGACTGATTGGTTCTACATGTAAAACTGAAGAAAAAATAAGACCCTGAGTTGAAGCTGTAGTAGCACCATCGTAAAAATGAATATGGTTGCTTTGAAGTACCTGTAATGTTATTTAATGTTAATAAATGGAACAATATAAGTAGCTAACTATTGTAATGGTAAAAAAGTGAGACTGTTTCAGATGTAAAAGACGTAGAAAATATATATCGCTATTACTCTATATAAGAAGCAGCAACATTGGCTTATCGCTCATATATAAGTGGTTAAATGTTGTAATTTGTATAGACAAGAGAGAGAGAGAGAGCAGCCAACTGATGTAAATAAACTCTTAATTTCATGCTTTTTTTTAGTGGGACAGCCTAATCTGGCACAGGTCACTTAATTCACATTAGCCTTGAGGGCAAAATTTAATAATTCTGTAATAATAATAATAATAATAATTCAGATAAGAAAAAGAAAAAAAAAAAAAAACGTGGCCTACTAGCTGACAAACTAAATGGATTTCGACCACTGGAGTTTGGGACTACAGAATGCTGGGACTAGAGAGGTATAACCTGTATTATTATTATTATTATTATTATTTTTTTTTATTATAATTGTTTATGTTTATATATTATTAATTGTACAGTATTATTATTATTATTATGTATCATAATTATTATTATTATTATTATTATATATATTTCTACCTCCAGGCCTTGATGGGTCAAGAATTACTGTGCCGGGGCGGCTAATGCCTGTATTAAAAAATAATAATAAAAAATATAAATGGGGCTGTTGGAGAGAATCAATTTAAGGCTGGTAATTATATGTTGTTATGATATTGAAAAACACAATTTTGGAAGTTGAATACAGGGTATAACAATCACAGGTTAGCCACAGATTCACATGCGGTAAGATCAAGGTAAATGATTCTACAAATTCGTAAGCTGAGGTCCTGCAGGTACCTAGTATATAAAACACATTTTTATACCCTAAAGTTGAATGTAAAAGTGGAAAACAAATATTGGCATCCAAATCTCACTATAATGTTAAACTTTGTGGGCTAGGCTCAAAACTTCCCAGTATGCATGCAGTTAACATTTTGCTATACTGTTTTTCATTTCTTCACTGTTCTTAACTGACTTTTTAGAAATCATGGATCTTTCACCATTGACTGATAAGAAATAAATGGAGGGGTGAATTCTGAAATCCCATTCTATGGATGAGGGCCACAGTGAGGTATATTTTCTTGAAAACCTTTATATATGGCTGGAGTGGTTCATGAGAGGTGCGGAGAGTTGACAGTTTTAACTTTACAGCTAATGACTTGCTAGCCCTGAGAGATAACCACTATGGGGGTCATGATGTGCATAGGTGCCACAGTACAGTAATTGCATTGTTCATAAGAATGCTTCTGCTACTAAACAACATTACCATTACAAGGTGGGCTCCATTAGGGGGTGCACAATGTACCAGAAAATCATGGGTCACTCACTTTCACACTGTAGGACTGTGCACAGATCTGCAAACACCCTGATTTTGAAAGGAGATTGTACTGAAACTTATTGTATTGGAAATGTACAGGTATTTAGATTATATAACAGAAAACAATACTTCTGTATGATTAAATTTATTATGTCATTCATTTTCTCACAGACCCTGACAATATGTCTGTGGAGGCTGTGTACCAACCCTTCACTGTCAAGACAAGTCAGTGTGGTCACCATCTGCTGGGGTGCAGGTGGCACATTTCTGGCTTGGCTCCTCTGCTGTGCTGCTGCATCAAGCTCTCTCATTTGCCACCTGCTGCGTCCCACACCATGGCTTTTGGCAGTATCATTTGTCTACATTATGGTGATGGGCTCTCAGATCTGTTGAAGCTGGAAGGACTGATATACTTCAGGTAAGATGCTTTTACTTTAATTGAGTTAGAATTCATATACAGGATTTTTTAGATTTAATGAACTGATTCATACACTGTTCGTTAAATCAAAATTTCCTCTAAATCAATCTGTCCGGGCATTCAAGCTTTCCGCTGCTCAGTCTGGGTCCTGCCACCACCGACCACCGTGTGTGTTGTTCACTGCTATCAACTACCTATATTAGGGTGTGACCTGCCCTCCAAAAATAAAAAATGGTCCCTACAATGGTGTGCCCAAAGTTTTAGTGTTGTGTATTTATCTAGGAAACACTCCAGCAATTTTCTTGAGCCGGTGCATGCTTGAGTTAGCACCGTCGGCTTTTACAAAATAACAAGGAATATTATTATTTAATGAACAAATTTAGTGGAATTTCTTTATTAGACTTATAAGATATACTAAACCAAGCAAATGATCGATCATATCAATCTTAATACAGGTTGTACCTCTCTAGTCCGCAACCTCGACCTGACCGCGCCGGACCATGGAAATTCAATTCTTTTCCTGGATAGATAGTGACTTGTGCTTATGCCTGGAAGCACTAGCACCACTTTCTGGCGCATGGTCTTTTGAAGACATATTGAAGGGTTAAATGTGTATAGTAGCCAAATTCGTGAAGTTTTAATTCTAATGTATTTTATTGAACACACAAAAAATTTAAATAAAAATTTGATTCAGAAACTTGAATTTCGACGGGTTTGAGCGGCCCGCCAACGCAGGCGGCGGCATAATCGTGAAACAGCGTCATTTCTTATGTACAAAAGATTCATTATTGTTTATTGCTGAATGTCTTTTTATTGAATTAATGTTTATGTGCAAATGAGCAATACAATTCATTAATAATAGTAGAAAATTAAAACACATGAGGAAATGACACAGCATTGTTTTAATTGATTACAAAACCAGTGACTGACTGGTTCTACATATAAAACTGAAGAAAATAAGACCTTGGTTGTAGCTGTAGTAAAATTAATATGGTTTGTTTTAAGTAATGTTATTTAATGTTAATAAATGGAACAATAGAAGTAGCTACGATAATGGTAAAGAAAAGAGAGATCGATATGTAAGTGCTTGTAGACACGTGGAAAACATATCTCGTCATTTTTACATAAGAATATGAAAAAGCAACACTTATTTACTGTTCATATATATTTTAATTAATGTTTCTGAATTTGTTTTTATTGAATTAATGTATGGGTGCAAAATTAACAATACAATTTATTAATATTGTGGAATATTAGAGGAGATGAGACCGCTGTCGCATTGTTTATGTTAAAGCTATGAAACCAGTGACTGATTGGTTCTACATATAAAACTGAAGAAAATAAGACCCTGAGTTTAGCTGTAGTAAAATTAATGTAAACAAATTAATATGGTTGTTTGAAGTACCTGTAATGTTATTTAATGTTAATAAATGGAACAATATAAGAATCCAACCATTAATGGTAAAAAAATTGAGACTGCTCGTATGTGTGCACATGTGAAAATATATCGCATTACTCTTACATAAGAATATAGGTTAAAATATTTACTGCTCATATATATTGAAGTTATATGTTGTACTCTGTAGACAAGCAGAGAGAGAGATCCCTAGACTGCGGATGTAAACAAACCTAAATTAGCTCTTTTTTTTTTGATTAGCCCACCGCATAGGTCACTGACCCACATTGGGGCCTGAGGGGCAAAAATTTAATACTCCTGTAATAATAATAATAATTCAGAAAAAAAAAAAAAAAAGAAGCTGCCTATCTACCTATTTGACAAACTAAAATCGTTCTGGACCACGGGAGTTTCCGGACCACAGAATGCCGGACTAGAGAGGTACAACCTGTACCCCTAAAACAATATTATAGATAAGTACGAAATACAATAATCCCAATAATTGCATTTCTAGGTTCAAGACCCATTTCTCTCAACTGGCGTACAATGAAAAAAAGAAATACTACTACCCTGCAATGCCTGGAGTGTTTGAGGAGCACCAGCAGAAGATGGCTGACTTCTTCCGTGAATGTCTAGCCCAATCATTTACACGTGGCGACTACAAGGAGCTGGTAGAGCTTTCTCTGCTGCTTGTAACTAAAGGATCCAAGCCAGTGAACTTCACGATGGTCTACCCCGGCGCACTTCACAAAGCAAGGTGGATGGCTAAAGTGCTCTATACCCTCAAGATTGTTGTTTTGTCAGGCCAGATCAAAGAGCAGTTTCCCAAAGCCGAGGTTGTGACTAAAAGTCAAATCAGCAAGTTAGAACAGTTTGCTGTGTTCACAGTCGCTGATTATGTCCCATGGTGGATTGTTTGCCCCGTTCCAGCAAGTGCACCACTGAATGACTTGAATTTGGTCGAAACCTTGGCTGAATTTGCCCCATACGACGCCACAATAGTTGACAAAGCACGTGTGGCACTCGGTAGACACACTTGGTACCTAACTGAGGAGTTGGCCCCACTGGCTTTGTTCTCGTCCCAAGTACAAGAAAGGACAAAAGAGGAGATGAGGAAGGCCCTTCTTTGCCATGAAGGCACTGAAGTTACTAAGAGAGTGGGGCTCAATCATGGGGGCTATGGAAAGCCATATCTTCCCCCTGTCCCAGAAAGTGGCACTGCCCTGGTGGACCTAATTGGGCCTGACTCAAGCCGGTTCTTCACCATTTTAGGCATGCCCTATCAGTTTCTCCACAGTCCAGCCAGTGAATGGGCGGATCATGACGACTACCTGAACATGAAACGGGTTGTGGACATGCTTCAGGTCGTCAATGAGGCTGCAGAACGTGGTGTAAAACTTTACCATGACTTTCTTCATGTTGCCAGGGATGAGGAGCGCTTTCAAGAAGTCCTTCAAGTAGTTGAAAATGACAGACTCCACGTTCCTAATCAGCGCAAACGATCATCTGCTTCCGAACAGAAATCATGGTTTCTTGCTCTAGAGAAATAATACCTTGTGAATATATGATAAAACCCCTTAATGTACTATGAGAGAATAAGAATGATTAACTTTTTTGTGTTAGTGATAACAGCTTTTAATTAAGACAGGCAAATGATTTGTGTTAATATCCCTTATGATGGTTGTGTAATCTCATATATAGGCGCGTATGCCGTATAAGCAAAATCGCTATTTTTCAAATTGCTGGTGCTCGCTCAAATATGCATGAATCTTCAAAAAATTGCATGTGGGTATTTTTTGTCAGTATGCAACACCAAAATTTTGAACAGCATTGTAGGACAAAGTTGGGGCAACTGTCACAGCCTACCGTATATCTCGGCCTACAAGGCGACAGGGTGTATAAGACGACCCCAAAAATTTCCATTTAAAAAAGTAGGTTTTGAGCTCTATTCGCTGTATAAGACCGGTACCCCAAATGTGACACTTACCATTGGGAGCTTACTGACCCAGTAGTCCTTTACCAACCATCCCATTGACCAGTGCTGTTTACACATCCTTGGTTTTTTAAAATAAAGCCAATTCACTTCAAGTAATGGCATCAAATGTTACCGGTTGGTGTAGTGTAGACACTAGTGACGTCACTTAAATGAATTATTTATAGGAGATAAGTATTATGATCAGTAAATATACCGGTAAGCCTTACTGGCCACCTCGGACACAAAGACGGGCTAAAAATAGCCCTCTCTCAGCCCCTCTTACTGCGGTCACTTTCCCTTTTTTGTCTTGTCACTGGTAAATGGCGGGGCGGTGCATGATGTTAGCTGTGTTTATTACCGGGGTATAATGTTATTTTACGGTATGTTAGACAGGTTTATAATACATTTTTATTATTTTAATATACCGGTAATCTTATTTTTAATCCAGTTTCCCAAACATAAGTTTCAGTATACGTACAATAATTAGTGGTAGGACCGTGTGAGTGGTTTACGATGTACTCCATCACCACTCTTGACATGCTAAACCACAATATGTAAGAACTAGAATTTTATACCCGGTATTTAAGACGACCCCTAATTTTGGGCTGATTTTTTTTAAGGTTCAAATTCCGTCTTATAGGCCGAGATATATGGTAAGTATATGTACGACGCCATCACAAGATTATATTTAAATTATTAGTATTATTTAGAACATTAGCATAACTTATAGTAGATTCAATAAGCTAATAGTGGATTCAATATTGCATAGGAGATCTGCTGACATGATGTCATTGATCACATGACCAGTATCCCAGACCAGCTAGAAATTGATTCCATATGAATAGATCATGAGACATGGGGCCATGTGACGCTTAAGGGAAGTGTCCGGATGAAAATCAGAAAAATTCGAAAATACAGTGATATCCCCGTTAGCCGTAACAATTGGTGCAGAGCATTTCTGGTGATGAGAGATTTCCGGGTAACAAGGCAACTTTCTCAAACCCAGAAAAATTCGTTATCTCCGGAACCTTTTCCAGTTACTGGGAAAAGTTTCCAGGTGTCTAAACTAGACTTCTTGCACAGACGCACACTCGCCCACTTCCCCAGAACGTTTCTGGGTGCTGGAGATGTTTTCCTTGAGTCTAAACTACTGGAATTCATAAATACAATTCTAATTAAGTAAGAAACTTCATTTCTATAATAATCCAGAATAGTTTATCTAAAAGTTTGGTTAAATAGATATATTTAAAGATTAAAAATCTATAGGATATGGGCAAGAATGAAGCTGTGTGTTACAGCAACGACTGTTATTTTCCATTCCCATGGAGCTGTGGGAGATTAGTGGGTCTCATAGTAATTGACCTGACCTGATGCAATGTCAGGTGGAGGTAGGGGATTGGTGGTCTCATATTACTGACCTGATGAAATGTCAGGTCACCCTTTCTTGGGTGGGAGATTAGTGGGTCTCGTGACCTGAAGACATCTGGAATAAACACGAAACCTAAAGTATTTTTAGAGAGATTGTGGTAAGTACAGATACAGGTTGACAACCCTTTATCCGAAATTCCGAAAACCAAAAAGCTTTGAAAACCGAAAACAAATTTGTGGAGCAAAAAAATTTTTTTTTTT